ACATCACATATCAAAATACGATAATGATGAACCGCTAGATGAGATTCTGACGAAACGAATAACACCAAAACACCAAAAATAAACTTGGTAAACAGCGTCGAACTTGACCAGTGGCCAGCATTTCAAAGCTTGCGGGCCGGTCGTACTACGGTAACTCTGGTCCTGCCACGAAATGGAAATTAGAAATGACGGCGCCTATAGCAACATTTCTCTGTAGGTCAGTTTAGCAGATGGTTACAAATGGCAACAAGTTCAGAAAATTTAACTAAAATTGAACTCATGCCAAGCTTTAAGCATTCGAACTCTGTCGGCATTAAAATAGTAGAACGATTAACAGATAGTCGTCGTTTTATGACAACAAATTCGTCTTTTGCTTTACTTGGACATTCATATTGTTTTTTATTTGCCAGAAGTGCACATCAACTTTTAACTGAGCTTTTATGATGCTTTTTTTTGTACTGAGTCTGCCCAAACTTTGAAAAGATTACGAGATGAACAGAGATCGGATAAGTTTTTCTATTTAACATTGAATATTTTGGCTGAAGGTTAAATAAATTTTAGTATCTTTGTTTATATTAATCTGGCAACAGTGTTAAACAAGACTGCTTACAGTCCTTATCACGGACACCGTGAAGTCTTCAAATATCACTGATACCTTTACAAAAATCTGAAAATATATATAAAAAATATATATAGCTGTATAAACACCGTTGTGGAGAACCTCTGATCAAAGCCGAATTTTACTCCGCAATCAGCAGCGGAGAAACTGTGGGTTGGCATTGGTATATTAAAAGATGAGGCGAAGTTTGATAATACGGTGGGTTCTTGGCAAAATCCCATTACGGCAAAAAATTCATTTTTGAATTTCAAAGGTGACAGGGGGGATCTGTTGCTAATTCGCCCGTTGGGAATTTAGCTGGACCCATAGTTTTTTGTTGTAATTCAGTTACGGTCACTTTATCCATCCACGTTGGTAGTACTTGTTTTTTTGCTTCCTGGATAAAACTTGTACAAGCTTCTGTATAGAGAGCTACAAGGTCTATTAAAATTGCTTTTTAATTTTCAACCCTTTTTCTTTTTAATAATTTTTTTTAGTTTTTTAGTTGACGTATTTTGAACCAGAATAAGCAG